TGCCATTACTTGAGGAAGGGTTTCGATCTTGGAAGAGATTTTTTTTTTTTGAAAGACTGACAAGTTTCCTGTGACTGGAACAAAGAACTCAGGAGCTAGGAGGAAGAAATGTCAGCCCACACCGTCTAAGGCTTAGACTTAGTCGGATGCCATGATGGTTACTTGAGAATTTGCCTTGTAAAGACAGTGATGCTTTTTGAGCAAGGGAGTGTTGTGATCATATTTGTTTGGGCATGTTTATTGGTCTAGTGGGAGAGCCCAGGTGGTGTGGAGACCAGATGACGCAAAGGATGTTGGAAGAGTTAAAAAAAAATTTAAATAATTAAGGAGTAGGGTATGCTAGTCTCTTGTACCAGGCTATGGAATTTTAACTTCTGTGTGTTTGCATCCTGTACCTGTCAAGATATGCAACATTTTCAGTGTCTCCCCCCCTCTCCCCCCCGACACCTTAAAATTCTCTGGTGCCAATTGGGTGTGGTGGCACAGACCTGTAACCGTAACCAGCACTTGGGATGTGGAGACAGGATCAGGGGTTCTAGATAATCTTTGGCTACGTAGTGATTTCTAGACCTGGCTGGGCTGCGTGAGACCCGGTCTCAAAAGGCAAAAACAAAATGCACTCCCTGGTGCCAAACAAGAAGGTCTGGAACTAACTCTGGGTGGAAGCCAGAAAATGAGGTGGACCTAAAGATGACTGTGAACTTGGGAGACAGGGTGGACTGGGTGGCAACACTAGGGATCAAAAGAGGTAGTAGGGAGGATCAGGTTTTGGTGGAGAGAGGGAGGGGTGGGGTGGGAAGGTAAGTTCAGTACTCGTTTTTTGTTGAGTTTGAGATGCCATGGAATCCAAAAGATAGAGGCAAATGGGAATGTAAATTTAGAGTTGTGGGGAAAGAAATGGGGATTGCAACATAGATTTGTTTGCTCCAGCATCCGAGGTCTATTGAAAACTAATAAGCAGATGAAGGTTCCCTAGAGACTGTAGGACTCAGGTGTGTTCAGCCTGTGCCCCAGGATAGCTATGAATGGGGCCCAACACAAAAAAAATTATAAACCTGCTTAAAAGGTTGATTATTTTTGTTGTTTTGTTACCAAATTATTTGTTTGTTTGTTTGTTTATGAGACAGGATATCACTATATATCCCTGGCTGCCCTGGAACTGACAGAGATCTGCCTGTCTTTCGATGTGTATCACATTGTCTGAGTGTCATGTTGTTTGGCTTTTAAGTGTGACCTTTGTAGATCACAACATTTATGTTGCAATATCAAAAGGTTGGGGATTCTGATGGGTAGTCAGACAGCCTGAGTTATGTTAGGCATAGGCAACTTTTAGGTTTTTGTTGTTGTTGTTTTTCTTTTTTTTTTTCCATCTAAATAGTGAATAAAGTCAGTGGCAAAATTCAAGTAAAAAGTCAGTAATAGTATTGACTAGAAAAAAGACAAGAATCAAACTGGCCGAGTGAGGTGGTGGTGCATACCTGTAATCCCAGAGTTTAGGTAGAGGCAGGAAGGTTAGGGATTTCAAGTCCTTTCTCAGGTATATAGTGAGTGTGAGTCTAGCCTGGCCTAATAAAGCTCTGTACATACAATCACTAAACAAGCATCAAAGTGGTTTAGAAGATGCTGTCCATTCTCTCTTGCTACCTACTCTGTTTCTCACTTTAAAATTTTATTTAATGTATATAATGTATATGGGTGTTTTGTCTGCTTACATATTCTGTGTTCCATAGTTTGTGCCTAGTGCTCTCAAAGGCCAGAAGAGGATGTCAGATCCCTTAGGACTGGGCCTAACAGACAGTTGTGGGCCTCTATGTGGGTGCTGGGAATGTGATGGACTCATTCCTTTGGAAGAGCTGGTCAGTGCTCTTAACCACTGAGTTAGTGATCTCAACAGCCTCACTGCCCTGATTCCTTGTGTCTCTTTCTAGTCAGTTTTAGCACATACACGTACGTGTGTGTGTGTGTGTGTGTGTGTGTGTGTGTGTGTGTGTGTACATGGTTTATCTTTTGAGTACATCTTTCCATTACTGCTTTGATTAAGGGTATCTTTTCTTTTTAATTATATGTGTATGAGTGTTTTGCCTGCATGTATATCTGTGCACCACTTGTTTGTCTGCTGCCTGCAGAGGCCAGAACAGGTCATCGAATCCCCTAGAACTGGAGCTACAGACAGTTGTGAGCTGCCATGTGGGTGCTGAGAATCAAACCCGGGGTCCTCTAAAGAGCAACCAGTGCTCTTAACCACTGAGCCACCTCTCCGTGTTTTCAACTGCATCATGAATATGATTGATTGCTAGCAAGAAGACTTTGGACAAAATTTCGTGTTTGATTTTTTTTCTCTTGTTTTTCTTGTCCTGCAGTGTGTTTTATACTGGTGTGTTTGTAGTGTTGACTGGGGGGAGGGGGGGAGTCTTCCTTTCTGTTTGCTTTTGCATTTCCTTGAACAATAATAGTCCTGTTGATGCAGATGCACCTTGGTGTTCATTGAAGTTCGTGAATCTTCTCTTGAGTAGTGCTATCAGCAGCATATTCTTGTGTGCTTCAAGTTGAGACTGGGGGCGGGGTGAGATGCTAGAATTTCCATGTGTACGCTTGTAGAGGCCAGGGTTGATGTTGGTTTCTTCCTCACTATCCACATTATTTTTTAGATTGGGCCTCTCTTACTGAATTTACAGATTCAGCTACACTGACTGTCCAGCAAACCTCAGGGATGCCTCTTTGTCTTTCAAAGTGCTGGCTTTTTTATTTTTATTTTTTTTTAAAGATTTATTTATTATGTATACAACATTCTGCCTCCATGTATCCTTGCAGGCCAGAAGAGGGCACCAGATCTCATTATAGATGGTTGTGAGCCACCATGTGGGTGCTGGGAATTGAACTCAGGACCTCTGGAAGAGCAGTCAATGCTCTTAACCTTATAGCCATTTCTCTAGCCCCAAAGTGCTGGCTTTTTTACATAGTTGCTGGGGGTCCAACTTCAATCCCCTCCTGCTGTTTTCCATCGGTTCGAGCACTGTAAAAACTGAGCATTCTCCCCAGTACATGCTAGTACTTTGCTACAGTAAAACTCTCAGTTAGAATGACTGGCTTGTTAAGAGTCCTGGAGGATTCTGAAGTTCAGATGCACAGTACAGTTTTGTTTATAGAGAGCTTGCTCTCAATAGTCCATGCCTTGCTGTCACTGAGATTACAGGCTTGTTAACTAGGTGCTGGCGTCTTCACACTTTATGTGGCACAGACTTTACTGACAGCCATCTCCCAGCCCCTAGTTATGTAAGTTTGTTTTTCTTTTGGTTTTTCGAGACAGAGTTTTTCTGTGAAGCCCTGGCTGTCCTAGAACTCCCTCTGTAGACCAGGCTGGCCTTGAACTCACAGAGTTCTGCCTGTCTCTGCCTCCTGAGTGCTGCGATTAAAGTTGTGTGCCACCACTGCCAAGCTTTATTCTTTAAAATTTTTTTATTTTTATTTAGTGTGTGTCTGTGCATGTGTTTTGGGGTCTTCTCAGGAAAACCTTATTCACCCATGCAGTGTACCTCCATTAAAACTCCTTCAAATTTTTTTAAAAAATTATTTTACCAAGTACTGGTTTCTGTAAGCCGTTTTCATAATCCTTTGTTTTGGTTCATGTTCCTACCCTTTTCCTTCCGCACATGTGGGCACATGTGTGCTTCATACAGCTCGTGTGTAGGAGTCAGTTCATCATGTGGATCCTAGGAATTGAACTCAGTCATCAGCCTTGGTGGCTAAAGCTCTGAGCTCACTCTCCAGCCCTCCTTTTACTCTGTGTGTGTATTATCGCTGAGGAAAGTTTATAGGCCTCTCCTCCAGCCTAATGCCGATAGTCATTTGAAGTACTGTAGTTGAGTGGCTTTAAGAATGACTGGTATGACCAGGCAGTGGTTACACATGCCTTTAATCCCAGCACTCAGAGGCAGAGACAGGTGGATCTCTGTGAGTTCAAGGCCACCCTGGTCTGCAGAGCTAGTTCCAGGACAGCCAGGGCTACACAGAAACCCTTCTCGAAAAACAACAACAACAAAAAATTTACACATACTTTAGTATTATAAAACTGAGTTTACTTTTGGACATGTGATTGCTTTGTTGGTGAGCTAATATATAACACGAATTGCTAAAATGGTCTTATAATAAAAACCTGGATCTAGATATTAGGGTAAATGCTGAAAGATTAGAGAAACAAAGGAACAAGCCACTGCCATGTCTCACCTCACCAACTCCACGAATCCTCTGACTGAATGCCTCTGAGTCCTCAGCTGAAAGGGGTCCAGCCAAAAAGCTTCCAGCCGAAGAAGCTCTCTAGCCAAAAGGGCTTTATTTCCTATCTCCTCAACCTTATATACCTTCCTTTGCCCAGCCATATTACTTCCTTCCTAGTGCTGGGATTAAAGGCGTGTGACTCCCAAGTACTGGGATTAAAGGTGTATGCTACCACTGCCTGGCTCTGTTTCTCTCCTAGACTAAGTCAATGTCATGTAGGTCCAGGGTGGCTTTGAACTCACAGAGACCCAGACGGATCTTTGCCTCCTGAGTGCTAGGATTAAAGGTGTGTGCCACCACTGCCTGGCATCTAGGTTTAATCTAGCGGCTTGTTTTGTCCTCTGATGTTTCAGGCAAATTTTATTAGGGTACACAATATATCACCACACTAAGACAGTGTTTTTTAGACTAGGCTGTCTCTTTTTATTTTCTTTATTAGAACAAAGGAAATGATGCTCCCTGAAATAATAGTGTGTTTAGAATCTGTTTCAGAAAATCAGATTATGATAAAACCAGTGTTAGACACTGTTGACTCTGTCCTTTCTGTTGACCACCTCTCCCTTTGTTGTTTGTAAATGATTCTTGAATCATTTCTCTTGAAAGGAAGCGTGGTCTTAGTGTTTCCCAATGTATAGTATTCTACAACTCTCTCAGGACTGAGATTTTCCAGTAGAAATTTTTTTTCTTGCTGTGACCTCAACCAACGTTTCTGATTGCTCTCTTAGATTCATCATGTTACAGAAAATGGAGGACTGTATAAAAGACCGTTTAATGAAGTGTTTGAAGAAACACCCATGCTGGTTGCCGTGCTCACATATGTGGGGTATGGCGTCCTCACCCTCTTTGGATATCTTCGAGATTTCTTGAGGCATTGGAGAATTGAAAAGTGCCACCATGCAACAGAAAGAGAAGAACAAAAGGTAATTGTCGGGGAGTCTTTGGTTCTGGTCAATAGATCTGGTCATGGGAATGTTGTCATTTTCACACAGTTTTTACCCCCTAAGTGGAAATTTGGGCACATGGAGTTAAACTTTGACACAGGAGGATTGCTGTGACTTTGAGTCCAGCTTGGGATACAGAGTGAGACTGTCTCAAAGCAAAGCAGAAACCAAATAATCAGAGTAACAAAAACTTTGTGAAAATACTCCACAAGGAAAGCCGAAGACAATGTGGAAGACATGAAAAGAGCAAAGCATTTGGGGCTGGAGAGGTGCTCAGTGGCTAAGAGCACTTGTTCTTGCAGAGGGCCTTAGTTCAGTTCCCAGCATCCACTGGTGGCTCACAGCTGCACCTGCTGATCCACGTACAAACATGCAGATACAATGCTCATATGTAGATAAACGTCTCAGATGACAAAGAGCAAAGTATTGAGTTGTGTTTTTCCTTTTTGAGACAGGTTTCTCTGTAGCCTGGCTGTCCTGGAACTCAATCTTTAGACCAGGCTGGCCTCTAGAGATCCACCTGCTTACCTTTTCCCGAGTGCTGGGATTAAAGGCTGAGATCAAAGGTGTGGGCTACCACCACCATGCACCATTTAACTTTTGTAACTTCACCACACTACAACTTAATGAAGCTTGTTTCATAGATTAGAAAGCAAAAATCACAAGCAGTGTGTCTAAAAGTTGACTAGTGTTATAGATGATATGGTGCGGCAGGAATGTTCATCCTTCAATCCTGTATTGTGTTAATAATGTTCTGCAGAGACTGGATTGGATACATTGGACATAGTTGTCCAGTTCACAGGTCAGTGCCTGTCCCTAAACAAACATGTCCCCAAGCTGAATGTGGCTAGGCCAGTGTGTTTACAGCAGCAAAGGCTCTTAGTAAATTGAGGGGTAATAAAAGATCAGATTCACTTCAGGCCACGCTTCTCAGAATATTCCTATATAGACCTTTATAACTTTATACAATGCACATGTATTACCTATTCCTAATAAACACCCAGGGTTGAAAAAATTTTTAAATTTATTCTTTGAGAATTTCATACAACATGTTATGATCGTACCTACCACCACCCCCACCTCTCCCCTTCTATTCATTCTCCCTGGGCCCCCTCCCAACTTTATATCCTTTTTCTTTTTTTAAATATTCCACTACTTCCAATTAGTGCTCCCTGTATGTGCCTGAGTGTGGGACATCCATTGGAGCATGGCAACCTACTAGCGGCTGACCAAGCTCTTCCCCTAGCCCATGGAATTAGCTTTTTTTATCATTTACAATATTCTTATCCTTGTGGGACTTGGAGAGAGTCAGATATGGAGTGGTAATACCATCTCTGGTTGAGGAGCCAGTAAAGAAATAGAGAGCACTTTTCGAAAAAGCAGGGAAGATAGACATGGTGGCTCATGTCTGTAATGCCAGCTCTTGGTAGGTTGAGGCAGGAGGGTTGCTATGAGTTCAAAGACATCCTTGGCTAAATTGTGAGTTTCAGGCCAAACTGGACTATTGAGTGAGACTCTGTCTCAGAAACAAACAAAAAAAAACAAAAAAGCATTGGGCCAGGTATGGCAGTGCATGCCTGTCGTGTTTAAGATATTTGGGAGGTTGAGGCTAAGGGATTGCATGAGATCAGGAGTTCAACCTGGGCCACATAACAAGACCCTGGGGAAGAATAAAGGCCCTTGTCAGTTATTAGGAAAACAGACCCAATCAGTGTATTTATACATGGATTGAAAGAAAACTCAGGTCCCTTGGGGCTATGGATAATGGCTCAGCTACTCTTTAGAGGGCCCTGGTTTGAGTGCTAGCACCCACATGGACAGTCTTTTGCATCTGTAACTCCAGTCCCACAGACCCAAAAGCCATCTTTTTTTCTTTTCCATTTATTTACTTATTTATTTTTTTGAGACTGGGTTTCTGCATAGCCCTGGCTGTCTTGTAACTGTATATAGACCAGGCTGGCATCGAACTCAGATCTGCCGGTGTTGGGATTAAAGGCATGCACTGCCATACCTGGTCCAATGCCATTTTCTGACCTTCAAGGGCATCAGGCACACATGGGTACATGTAGGTAGAGTTTTCCTGCCTGGCCCACAGTCAGGACAAATCTCTCTCACCCGCCAGTCCCACAGCCGCTCAGACCCAAACAAGTAAACACAGAGACTTATATTGGTTACAAACTGTATGGCCATGGCAGGCTTCTTGCTAACTGTTCTTACAGCTTAAATTAATCCATTTCTATTAATCTATACCTTGCCACATGGCTCGTGGCAGCTGGCAGTGTCTCCCCCCCCTCCTTCCTGTTCTCTCAATTCTCCTCTCTGTTAGTCCCACCTGTACTTCCTGCCTGGCCACTGGCCAATCAGTAATTTATTTATTGACCAATCAGCAACACATTTGACATACAGACCATCCCACAGCACTTCCCCTTTTCTTTTCTTAAAAAGGAAGGTTTTAACCTTTACACATCTCCAAAATCAGCTTGGTATATTTGGGAATTTGGGCGTAGCTTTTCTTACTACTTCCTGCTGGAGGGGGGGCGCTGTATCTTATGGGGACACAAAGAAAATTTTAGGATTATGGAATAGTCCATGAGGCTGTATCGTCTGAGCCAGTTGCCTTGAAACCATTCTGGATGTTGGATCATCTGGGCCATGGTGTCATCGGAGACCTTTCAGGGGGTCTTGGCTGGTCAAACCTGATGTGTCTTAATCTGGAACAAATCCATAGCCTCTGGCTTTCTGTGGAAACAAAAGCAGAGCCTCCTTTCCAAAGCAACATATCTTTACATCCAAATTTTGAAGTCAAGGTACCTTTAAAATATACATTTTGGCATAACTCAATAGCTTTTGTAATCAAATGTTTTTCTTCAGTTACGAATATCAAAGAGAACATAATCCAGATTCTCTGTGTGGCAGCCATCTTTACGTGCCTTATTTTTTTATATTAGTTTGAGCCTATTGCTTTAAACTGCAGCCTTCTAAGCCTGAAATGGCGCTGGCGCTATGGCTGCTGGCTCCGCCCACTTCAGTTTCCCAACATGGTGGTGGTACGTTTTCCGCCAGCTCTGGGAGCCATCAACTCTCAGAAATAGTGGGTCTGTGCTTCTATCAAAGCAGCATGTAGCCCAGAAACCTCTTTTTTTGTTGTTGTTTTGTACTAGCAAAGGTTAAATCCACCACACAGCTTAATGTGCCACTTGCAGAGGCCTCATTCCCACCATACTGCAGGTCGAGCATGCACGCCAGGAACCAGCCATAGTAGCTCAAACACGCAGGCTGCCGCTAGCTTAAAAGAAACAACTAGGAGCTGTTTTTAGCTCCGTTTTAGAATCTTTTTACTCAGGTTTTAGGTGGAAACTCTTGCCAACACGTTGGGCGCCATTTGTAGCTGGAGATTTCCTGCCTGGCCCACGGTCAGGGCAAATCTCTCTCACCTGCCAGTCCCACAGCCACTCAGACCCAACCAAGTAAACACAGAGACTTATATTGGTTACAAACTGTATGGCCATGGCAGGCTTCTTGCTAACTGTTCTTTCAGCTTAAATTAATCCATTTCTATTAATCTATACCTTGCCACATGACTCGTGGCTTACCAGCATCTTCACATGCGGCTTGTCATGGTGGCGGCTGGCAGTGTCTCTCCCACCCAGCTTCCTGTTCTCTCCATTCTCCTCTCTGTTAGTCCCGCCTATACTTCCTGCCTGGCCACTGACCAATCAGTGATTTATTCATTGACCAATCAGCAACATATTTGACATACAGACCATCCCACAACAGGTACACATACATACATGTAGACGAAACACCCAAGCACATAAAATCAACAAAATTTTAAAAAAGGAAGGAAAATTCAGACCCCTGAGAACTCAAGATCAGGTGTCCTTCTCTTTCATCTCAACCAGTTTGTACTTGCTTTCCAGCCAGGCCTCCCAAGTTGACCTCTCTACACATGGCCCCAAAATACCTACAAGGTAATTTCATTGAGAATGTGTTTTTTTCAGGCCAGGTATGGTGGTACAGACACTTAGTCCCAGCACTTCCAGAGGCAGAGGCAGGAGGATCTCTGATTTCAAGGTCAGCCTGGTCTACATAAAGAGTTTCAGGACTACTAACTACATAGAGAGACCCTGTCTCAAAAAACTTTAAAAAAAATTTTTTTTTTAATGTGTTTACAGGGGTAGTGAAAGGCTTCAGTGATTAAGAGCACTGGCTACTCTCTTTCCAGGGACTCTGGGTTTGATTCCCAGCACTCATATGGTTGTTCACAACCATCCATAACTCCAGTTCTAGGGGATCCAATTCCCTCTTCTGGCCTCTTCTACAGGCTACTCATATGGTCATGTGGTACACAGATATAGATGCAGGTAAAACACCCATACACATAAAATGTAAATAAATAAGTCTTAGAACAACAACAAAATAACCAAGAACCATTTTTTTAAGAAAAAGTTTTGGGTTTTTTGTTTGTTTTATTTTTAAAAAAGACAGGACAGTAAAGCCCTATATTTATAACCTAATCAGGTAGACAAAGCCAGTTTTTATGATTAGAAACCCGAACACACTTGACTCTTGTATTCTAGCGGAGTGTATCTACCCAGAGCGAACTCACAGAAGTGCTGGTTTTGTTCACTCAGTTAGCTTGTCAGCCACTTACTGCACTGTACAGTGGTTCATTTGTGTACTCACTTTCTGTTGGGCCAAACTGAAGGTGGTTGTGAGTGATGGTAGCTAAAGTTTTGTAGTAACTGCATGAGGAATATTTGGGAGGACCTGAAATATGATACATGAATTTTGAATGACAAAAGAGGCAATGGGGAGACCTGAGCAGTGTTTGAGCAGGGGAGCCATCATGGGCTTGTGCAGCTGGTACTCAAGAGTGTGGTGGCTGACAAGAAATTGCAACAATGAATCTGGGCTACTTTGTGAATGAATCCTTCTTTGGATATTGTTTGGTATTTCTGGAGGGTAAGTTTATAGTT